CTATAGTCTAGTCTAGAGTCTAGTCTATAGTCTAGTCTGTAGTCTAGTCTATAGTCTAAGGTATAGTCTAGTCTATAGTCTAGGCTATAGTATAGACTATTTTGTAGTGTATAGTTTAGTCTGTGTTCTGGACATTAGTTTAGTCTATAGTCTGGCCCATAACCCTGTCTATAGTCTAGTCTTTAGTCTAGTCTATAGTCTAGTCTATAGTCTAGTATATAGTCTAGTCTATAGTCTAGTCTATAGTCTAGTCTATAGTCTAGTCTATAGTCTAGTCTATAGTCTAGTCTATAGTCTAGTCTATAGTCTAGTCTATAGTCTAGTCTATGGTCTAAGCTATAGTCTAGTCTATAGTCAAGGCTATAGTCTAGTCTATAGTCTAGTCTATAGTATAGACTATTTTGTAGTGTATAGTTTAGTCTGTGTTCTGGACATTAGTTTAGTCTATAGTCTGGCCCATAACCCTGTCAATAGTCTTGTCTTTAGTCTAGTCTATAGTCTAGTTTATAGTCTAGTCTATAGTCTAGTCTATAGTCTAGTCTATTGTCTAGCCTATAGTCTAGTCTATAGTCTAGACTATTGTCTAGCCAATAGTCTAGTCTATAGTCTAGTCTACAGTTTAGTCTATAGTCTAGTCTCTAGTCTTGTCTTTAGTCTTGTCTTTAGTCTAGTCTATAGTTTAGTCTATAATTTAATTGTAATTTAACAGTTTTTATGTTAAATTAAATGAAAGAAAGTTTATTATTTAAACTAACCCTTTGGCAGGTAGTAATATTAACCCGTAATAAAAAAGCGACATAAATATTTTTTGTTTTTCGTAGCGGAAATTGCCCCTTAAATTAGTCATTTAACAGCTCGTTATTTCAAAGTGAGAAATGGTCAATTTCCTAAGACAGTAGTTTTTTATTACAGGGAAGACCTTTTATAGAAACTAAGACATATGTCAGAGAGATAAGAAAGTGCGGTGTAAATCTAAATATCTACGCAATGTTTTTTTTTTTTTTTTTTTTCAAAATTTCAAAGTCCAAATTATAGACTTCTTATCAAGAGGAAGAAGTAGCGGCAGGTACGTACACACTCTCTCTCGCAACAAGAACTAAAATTTTTCTCTTTAATCTTTTAAATTCTCAAAGTGCAAATTCTTAAAAGTATGAGTCAATTTATGTTTTTAACCTCAGATAACAACATAGATTAAACTTATAAATATAAGTTGGAAACAATATTTTTGTGCTTAAACTATATTTTTAGAAATATTCCAAATTTTATTAATTTTTATAAATTTTTTAAAAATATTAACTAAATTTCCAAATTAAACTTTTTTACAAAATTTCAATTTTTTACTGATTTTCGAGTCTAGTTGAGTTTTTGTTTATAGAATTTGTTCGAAAAAAACATTTTGAACATTTTCAAAAATTCGAACTTAATTTCGAAATAAAATTTTTTACTTAATTTTTTAAAAATCTTGATATTTTTTGGATTTTATAAGTCTATAAGTATTTGTTATTAAATTATGTTGGGAAACAAAAAATTTTTAACATTTTGGGAAATTTTCGAAAATTCGAACTTAATTTCGAAATTAAATTTTTAATGATTTTTAAAAGCCTAAGTAAGTTTTTGCTATTAAATTGTGTTTGAAAACTAAAATGTTAACATTTTGGAACATGTTCGAATATTCGAAATTAATATTTTTAAGTTTTAAATACAAATTTAAACACTTAAACCTCCTCTCTCTTAGTTAAATAAAGTAGAACTACAATAATAATAACAACAACAATGATACACACAACCTACATACTATAGTTTTGAGAACAACAACTACTAAATCATTCAGATTATTCATAATTTTACTTGCTTTGTTTAAGCTCTTCTGCGAGCCACTCAAAAAAAAAAAAAACTAAATTTAAATGTTCGAAAAAAAACTGCAGAAGAACGAATATTAATTGAATAACAAACTAACAACAACAATGTTAACAACATCATCATCATCGATAATAAATACTAAAAACCGATAACACTCTTAGAAGTAGAAGCAAACTTTCTTTTTTTTTAAAGGTTTTTGGATTTCTTTCATTTATTTTTGTATTCTTTACGTGATACCTTTATTAATGAAGTTCCAAATTGTTGTTGTTGTTTTTATTAAAAGAAGTTTTAAGAAATTCCTTAAATTCTTCTTTATATTTTGTATAAAACTTACCTTTAGTTGTTTTATTTTTAGCGCTCAAAAGGAAGTTTATTTTGTGATTGTGGGCGTCATTAAATCCGTGGTATTGTTTTGTTAACTCTTTTTTTCTCTTTATAAACAATTTGTTTTTATTATTTGGTTGTTGTTTTATTTGTTAATTATTATAAAAAAAGTTCGACACACAACTTAGAGCCGTAAGTGTGTTAGAAAGCTAAAAAAACAACTGTTCACTACACGATACGTTTAACAACTAAATTGCAGCTGATGTCGATTTACTAAATTATTAAAGATGTTACCATGTGTAGGGTTGCCATCGTTAACTTTGCCGAAAGTGGGGAAGACATTAAGAAAAATTTCAATAGACAATTTTTTAATAACGATCGATCTCAAAAAATTTGTATGACTGTAGACTAGACTATAGACTAAACTATAGACTAAACTATAGACTAAACTATAGACTAGACTATAGAATAGACTAGACTATAGAATAGACTAGACTATAGAATAGACTAGACTATAGAATAGACTATAGACTAGACTATAGACTAGACTATAGACTAGACTATAGACTAGACTATAGACTAGACTATAGACTAGACTATAGACTAGACTATAGACTAGACTATAGACTAGACTATAGACTAGACTATAAACTAGACTATAGACTAGACTATAGACTAGACTATACTAGACTAGACTAGACTATAGACTAGACTATAGACTAGACTATAGACTAGACTATAGACTAGACTATAGACTAGACTATAGACTAGACTATAGACTAGACTATAGACTAGACTATAGACTAGACTATAGACTAGACTATAGACTAGACTATAGACTAGACTATAGACTAGACTATAGACTAGACTATAGACTAGACTATAGACTAGACTATAGACTAGACTATAGACTAGACTATAGACTAGACTATAGACTAGACTATAGACTAGACTATAGACTAGACTATAGACTAGACTATAGACTAGACTATAGACTAGACTATAGACTAGACTATAGACTAGACTATAGACTAGACTATAGACTAGACTATAGACTAGACTATAGACTAGACTATAGACTAGACTATAGACCTAGACTATAGACTAGACTATAGACTAGACTATATACTAGCTATCGACTAGACTATAGACTAGACTATAGACTAGACTATAGACTAGACTATAATACTAGATATAGACTAACTATAGACTAGAACTATAGAACTAACCTATAGACAGACTATAGACTAGACTATAGACTAGACTATATACAGACTATAGACTAGACATAACTAGACTATAGACTAGCTATAGACTATACTATAGACTATACTATAGACTAGACTCTGACTAGACTATAAGATAGACTATAGACTAGACTATAGACCTAACTATAGACTAGATATAGACTAGACTATAGACTAGACTATGACTAGACTATAGACTAGACTATAGACTAGACTATGACTAATATAGACTAGACTAATAGACTAGACTTAGATAGTCTATAGACTAGACTATAGACTAGACTATAGATAGACGATAGACTAGACTATAGATAGACTAGACTAGACTAATAGACTAATACTAGACTATAGACAATAGACTAGACGAGACTATGACTAGACTAAGACTATAGACTAGACTATAGACTAGACTATAGACTAGACTATAGACTAGTCTATAGACTAGACTATAGACTAGACTATAGACTAGACTATAGACTAGACTATAGACTAGACTATAGACTAGACTATAGACTAGACTATAGACTAGACTATAGACTAGACTATAGACTAGACTATAGACTAGACTATAGACTAGACTATAGACTAGACTATAGACTAGACTATAGACTAGACTATAGACTAGACTATAGACTAGACTATAGACTAGACTATAGACTAGACTATAGACTAGACTATAGACTAGACTATAGACTAGACTATAGACTAGACTATAGACTAGACTATAGACTAGACTATAGACTAGACTATAGACTAGACTATAGACTAGACTATAGACTAGACTATAAACAGTACTATAGATTGCACTATAGATATCGAAAATTTTTTATATCGATATAAATAAAAATAAATAAGAATAAAAAAATTTATATGAAATACAATTCCCCATTTTCATAAAATTATACAATGATGGCAACCCTTAAGTTTGTTTTCAGTCAGTTGTGTAGCATTGGCAATTCTATCACATGTTTTTGTAATTATGCCGGTCAGCTGTTTCCTATTGTTGTTGTCAGTAAACTCAAAGCCGGTCAAACAAAATTTGTTAGCAACGGCGTCAACGAAAACAGAGTTGTATTTGAAAAAACCGTTAAATTTTAAAATGAAATGTTTATTATTAAAAGTTCGGAAAGTTAATAATAATAATCTTAAGATTATTATCTTCAAAATTTACTTTAGAAAATCGTATTAATATCTGGTATCTGAGGGTTAGTTGATTCCATAATTTAGGGACTTATAGCAGAAACTTGATAAACCAAAATATTAAAATATTTTAAAATTCAGAACTTAGAAAAAAATTTTAGTAGACAATTTTCGAATTATATAATAAATCTATTAATCATTTATTAAAAATATTTGACATATGTTATGTCTGCGATTCTCCTTAACACTTCATGGGTTAATTCTCATTTATTTCTTTTTGTAAGTGATAAAATATTTTTTGCTTTTTACTCTTTTATAAAGTGATAAAATTCTTTACATTGAAACACAATCTTCAACATTTCATTCATAATTCACAAACAATCCATAAGCTAAAGTAGAAATTTAGTTCTCTCTGAAACGTTCACAAGATCGGTTGTTTAAAAAAAAAAAAAAAAAAAAAAAAATATTCTTACAAATAAAAAAATCTATAAAAATGTGTCATTGGTTTTATCATCTTCTAGTTGGCATAGTTTTATTTTACATAAATGGTGTTAAAGCTGATTTCAAATATAATGTCAGTCTAGCACAAATGCATACCTGTCGCCATTATAGTATACCCAATAATCGGGGTTATAGTTATGCGGATTTTTTTCATATACCTCAATTAAATAATAATAAATTGGCCAAAACGGAACTGTTACATTTGAAATTTTATGTAATGACCGCTAGAGATGCTCATATTTTGTTAGCGGTTAATGAGCGTCCCAAATTAATGGATCGTGTATATGAAATTGGTGAAACATTAAACATTTTTTAAACATAATTCTTAAAACTAATGTTTCTCCGTTTTTTTTTTTTTAATATTTTTGTGATTAGTCATTGGTGCGGGTCGTAATCAATTTTCTACTATACGTACCAGCATGGGACGTCGTCGTGTGGCTACTAATCAGGAGCCAAATATTTTATCAATGCTTGATCCCACACCCATTGAAATTATACAAACGAAGGGTATAACCTTTAACTGTCAAAAACACATGCTTGTTATTTTTAAAATTACTGATAATTTCTTTATTTTTTTTTTTCGTATTACAGATGCCAGTTTATTGGTTTATATACCCGGCTATAAGGAAGAACCTTTATTAAATTTCACCGATGCCTCTCCATTAAATATCAACTATATAAGTTTTACTACTTATGATAATATACCTGCTAGTTGGTTTTTTGATTGCCAGTTTGATGGCTTTTCGAATGAATTGGAGGAAGTTGTCAGACCTTTAAGTCCTTATCAATATTTATTGGCGAATATTACCTCGAAAGCTGAAAATGCTTCATTTCCTCCTACATTAAACAGCATTGATTTTTCTTTTAATATTGCTTCGATACGTTATCAACATGATCATGGTTTTTTGCAATCCCGTTTGAATGTGATATTGGTAAGTGATTTTTAGCCTATTTTCATTTACATTATTTTCATGACTTCATTAATTAGTTCAAATATTTTTAAAGCAAAAGTTTTGAATCAGATTTTAAATACCGTAATTTATGTATGGATAATTGTTTATACCGCAAATTTAATAGAAAATCTAGTCTAAAATCTTTATTATATTAGGTTGTAATCAGGACTATAGTACAGTTTATACTATAGTCTATAATCTGAGCAATTGTCTTCTTTAAATTTTTGAATAAAATTTTGTCTGTATTCTGTACTATAGTGTAATCTATAGTCTGAACAAGAGTAGAGTTTAAAGTCTAGACCATAGTCTGGATCAAAGTTTAGAACAATGATTAATATTCTTTTTTATATTATATTTTATATTCTGGAGTATAATCCGGTTATAGTCTTGTTAATAGTCTAGTCTATAGTCTGGTCTGTAGTCTGGACTATTATTCTGGTCAAGTATTTTAAAGTAAAGGTTTAAAGTCTGAGAATAGTCTAGTCTATAGTCTAGTCTATAGTCTAGTCTATAGTCTAGTCTATAGTCTAGTCTATAGTCTAGTCTATAGTCTAGTCTATAGTCTAGTCTATAGTCTAGTCTATAGTCTAGTCTATAGTCTAGTCTATAGTCTAGTCTATAGTCTAGTCTATAGTCTAGTCTATAGTCTAGTCTATAGTCTAGTCTATAGTATAGTCTATAGTCTAGTCTATAGTCTAGTCTATAGTCTAGTCTATAGTCTAGTCTATAGTCTAGTCTATAGTCTAGTCTATAGTCTAGTCTATAGTCTAGTCTATAGTCTAGTCTATAGTCTAGTCTATAGTCTAGTCTATAGTCTAGTCTATAGTCTAGTCTATAGTCTAGTCTATAGTCTAGTCTATAGTCTAGTCTATAGTCTAGTCTATAGTCTAGTCTATAGTCTAGTCTATAGTCTAGTCTATAGTCTAGTCTATAGTCTAGTCTATAGTCTAGTCTATAGTCTAGTCTATAGTCTAGTCTATAGTCTAGTCTATAGTCTAGTCTATAGTCTAGTCTATAGTCTAGTCTATAGTCTAGTCTATAGTCTAGTCTATAGTCTAGTCTATAGTCTAGTCTATAGTCTAGTCTATAGTCTAGTCTATAGTCTAGTCTATAGTCTAGTCTATAGTCTAGTCTATAGTCTAGTCTATAGTCTAGTCTATAGTCTAGTCTATAGTCTAGTCTATAGTCTAGTCTATAGTCTAGTCTATAGTCTAGTCTATAGTCTAGTCTATAGTCTAGTCTATAGTCTAGTCTATAGTCTAGCCTATAGTCTAGTCTATAGTCTAGTCTATAGTCTAGTCTATAGTCTAGTCTATAGTCTAGCCTATAGTCTAGTCTATAGTCTAGTCTATAGTCTAGTCTATAGTCTAGTCTATAGTCTAGTCTATAGTCTAGGCTATAGTCTAGTCTATGGTCTTGTCTATAGTCTAGTCTATGGTCTTGTCTATAGTCTGGTCATAGTCTAGTCTGTAGTTTAATCTGGTCTATATATTCCGAGAAAGTTTATCATTGATCAAAAGTAGTCGTTTTCACAAATAAAGATAGAAACAACCTGAAGATTCTTTTGGGTATGAATGAGTTGCGGACCTAGTTCTATATAAGTTAATTTAATTGAGAGCTTTTTGCATTTTCATTCCATTTGTCAATCATCACCATCAAGTTGTTCTAACATTTAAATCCAGTTTCTTAAAGAAAAATATTTGCGCTTTTTAGAATTGGCAGGATCCTCGCATACAATGGAAACCTGAAAATTTCAGTTTTATTGATACCATACAATATAATGAATATGATATTTGGATGCCACATCTAATGGTCATAAAGTAAGTCTGCAAAATAATTGAAAAATATAAATAAAGTTATATAAAATGTTTGCCCCTAGTGCCGCCGGTAAAAGTCATCGTATTTTCGATTTCTATCATGAGGTAAGAATTGAAAGTAATGGTTCGATTACCTTAAACTTTCCCGATGCCATACTCACCACTTGGTGCGTAAATGCCGAAGAAAACTGGCCCAATGAACATTTAAAATGCGAAATTGAATTTGGTTTAGAATCAGGACCTTTGGAGAAATTACCTTTAATCTATAAAGATAAAATGCCTCATGATAATGTGGACTCACTAAGCGAATGGCATTTACATAGGATATCTGTGAATCCCATAGTTAAAGGTATGATAGCAAGGTTTACCGATAAAGATATTATACAGTCAATGGATGGAGATATTTCTATAATATTTGAAATATCAAGAAATAGTACATTTTATAAGAATGTTTTCTCTGTGCCGATATTGGGTGGGTAAACAGATTTCATATAGTATTCTAAAAGAAGTAATACGTTAATTATCTTTTTAATAGCTTGTCAAATTTTGATTATTTTATCCTTTTTACTGAGAGGTTATCGTCGTGGTGCTTTAATTTTGGTGGTTATTTTAATTTTAATGTTGGGTTTAATGTTTATCACTAAACATGCCCCTACGCCCTATGTGCCCAATATAAGTGAGTATTTTTATTTAGCCTTAGAGCAACTTTCTTAAGAAATTGCTAACTTTTTTTCTCGGTTTTTTCTAAAATCCAGTGATTGCTTATCAGCACATTTTACGCATAGCCACTTTCTGTTATATGCTGCATATTGCCTTAATGTGGTTGGAATTATATCCACCCAAGACTAAGCCCCATGATTGGTTAATGTCGGCCGTAAATTTCTCTCCCTTACGTTTGTTTTTGTGCATGAGATTAGCTGATGTAAGTACGATTTCGTTTATATCGTTTCTTCTTATAATTTTTCCCGCCTTTTGCAGTCGAATGATTTTATTGAGGTTCAACAACATCCCTGGAAGGAAATTGCCAAAACTTTAAATGCTTTATGTTTTGTAATAGTTAATATAATTTTAATTCTTACTGTGGTCATTTTGTTGCCCCACGCTTAAGTTTCAATTTTTTAACCTCAAATTTTATTTCGTTAATTAAATTGTATATAAATAAAGTCCAAATACTAAATTTAGTTAAATGTCTTTTAAATTGAGTCTAGCTAAGTCTGGACTATAGGTTATAGTCTAGACAATATTCTACAGTTTAGATTATAATCAGTTCTGGTCTGGACTACAGTCTAGTCCATATTCTGGACTATAGTCTAGTCTATAATCTCATCTATAGTCTGATCTATAGTCTGATCTATAGTCTGGACTATAGTCTCATCTATAGTCTAGTCTGTGATTTGGACTCTAGTCTATAGTCTGGACTATAACCTATAGTCCAAAGTATGGTCTAGTCTATAGTCTGGTCTGTAATCTAGTCTATAGTCTGGACTGTCGTATAGTCTATAGTTTGGATTACAGTCTAGTCTATATTCTGGAATATGGATATAGTCTGGACCATAGTCTAATAGTATAGTCTAATCTACAGTTTCGTCAATATTTACATCTACTTTTAAGTCTTTAATATGAACTATAGCCTAGTCTAGACCTAGTCTCTGCTATAGCCTAGTCTATAGCCTGTACTGAGACTAGTGTATAGGAAGGACTATAGTCTAGTCCATAATCTGGACTACAGTTTTGTCCATAGTCTGGAATATAGTTTACTCTATAGTCTGGGATAGAAACTAAACTGGACTATAGTTTCGTCTATAGTCTGGACTGTATATAGGCTGGACTATAGTCTACTCTTTAGTCTGGACTATAGCCTACTTTATAGTCTACTCTATAGTCTGGACTATAGTCTACTCTATAATCTGGACTATAGTCTGCTCTATAGTCTGGACTATAGTCTACTCTATAGTATGGACTATAGTCTCTATAGACTCTATAGTCTGAACTATAGTTTACTCTTTAATCGGAACTATAGTCTACTCTATAGTCTGGACTATAGTCTACCCTATCGTCTTGACTGTAGTCTAATCTATAGTCTGAACTATAGTTTACTCTATAGTCTGAACTACTTTATAGTCTGGACTATAGTTTACTTTATAGTCTGGACTATAGTTTACTCTATAGTCTGGACTATAGTCTTGTCTATAGTTTGATAAAGTCAGCACTATAGCTTTGTATATAGACAGGACTATTAAACTACAGCTTCGACTACAGTCCATAAATGGACTCGAATCTAGTCCATTTCAATAGTTTAGTTTTCATAATATACAAAGTTGTACACGAAAACTTGTTAATAGATACAATTGAAATTAACTAGATATTTTATGACTGTGTTAGTATCTGTTTAAGTTTGTTGAAGTTGAAGTGCAATTGATTTGATTTTTTCAATATGTTTTGTTGAGGTGATTGTAAGTTTTAATGTTTTTTTCTTTTGGTTTGTTAACGTTTTGTCCATGTAATCAATAATTGTATTAGAATCTGTTTGGAGTATATTGATCTTGATGTGTATAAAAGTGTCGCAAAATCTATGATAAATAACAGTTCAAACAAACGCATTTCAGAGAGCAGTCATCTGGCAAAACAAACTAGAGTTTCGTTGATCATAAGATTGATTAGTTGAAATAGACAAGAAAAAATCGTCCTTTTATTTTGGAAAATTTTGTAAATCACAAAAAAACTTATAAAAATGAAATTCTTGGTGAGATATTCTTGGGTGGTTTAAATGCTGTAAAGTTTTTGAAATTAGTGTTTATGGTGTTGTAGATCCTTTTGGTTTTGGTAGCTTCGGTGGCTGCTCATCCTGGTTACTTAGGTGGTGGTGGTTTAGGCCATGGTTATGGTGGCGGTATTGGCATTGGTATTGCTGCTGCTCCCGCTATTAGTTATGCAGCACCAGCTGTTAGTTATGCGGCTCCTGCGGTTAAGGCTGTAGCTGCAGCCCCTGCTATTTCATATGCTGCTCCTGCTATTGCTGCTGCTCCTGCTATATCGTATGCAGCACCTGCTATTTCTTATGCTGCCCCTGCTCCTGTTGCTGTTGCCGCTCCAGCTCCAGTTGCAGTAGCTGCCCCTGCTCCCGTAGCTGTTGCAGCCCCTGCCCCTACCTTAGTTAAATCTGTTACTCCTGCTGCTACCAGTTATTCTACCATCAGCACTGTTAGTATTTTCTTTCTTTCATACTTTAACATCTTTCTTAATATTTATTCCAAAACTTAGGTCATCAATCATCCTGCCACCATTAGAACTGTGACGGTAGCTGCTGCTCCTGCTGTTAAGGTAGCAGCGGCACCAGTGGCTGTTGCTGCCCCCGCTCCTGTTGCCGTGGCTGCGGCTCCTGCCATTTCTTATGCTGCTGCCGCTCCCGCCATTTCCTATGCAGCACCCGCTGTAGCTGCTGCTCCCGCCATTTCTTATGCTGCTCCCTCCATCTCTTATGCTGCTCCAGCCGTTTCAGCCGTCAAAGTAGCTGCTGCTCCCGCTATTTCCGTGGGTTATGGTTATGGTGGTGGTTATGGTCATCATTAATTTTCTCTTTTTTCGAGAAAATTCTTAAACCGGAAAGCCGCCGATCGCCCTGTGTATATATACAACCGCCAAGTTCATAAGGATTTACGACTTTAGTCATTCATTAAATATTCTCATCATAATTTTTAAGTCTTTAAATGGGCTGAAAACATCTATGCCCAAACATTTAGCAGAAAGAATCAAATTGTATTTATTAATTTTTAAGCACTAATTTTATTTGTTTCTTTTCAAAACTAACTGCCTCTTAATTTTCTTCTAAACATATGTATTATAGTTAAATGAATTAATCCCTCATTTTTATATATATTTTATAGGATGGCAAGGAAAAAAGTTGAAAATACTTTTATTGTGATTTTATATAAATTTAGGTTATAATTTTTGACCAAAAAAAGAAAAAAAACGCTTAAGCAAAATTTAAAGAATAATAAAAAGTTGCAACTTTTTTCATAAAAATAACTTTTAAAAACTTTTTAATTTATAATATTTAAAGTTTAGTCGTAGTCTCAACTATAGGGCAGTCTATAGTCTGGACTATAGATTAGTCTATAGTCTAGCCTATAGTTTAGTCTATAGTCTGGACTATAGTTTAGTCTATAGTCTAGACTATAGTTTAGTCTATAGTCTGGACTATAGTTTAGTCTATAGTCTGGACTATAGTTTAGTCTATAGTCTGGACTATAGTTTAGTCTATAGTCTAGACTGTAGTTTAGTTTATAGTCTGGACTATAGTTTAGTCTATAGTCTGGACTATAATTTAGTCTACAGTCTGGACTATAGATTAGTCTATAGTCTGGACTGTAGATAAGTCTAAAGTCTGGGTTATAGATTAGTCTATAGTCTGGACTATAGTTTAGTCTACGATGTAGACTATAGTTTAGTCTACAGTCTGGACTATAGTTTAGTCTACAGTCTGGACTATAGATTAGTCTATAGTCTGGACTGTAGATAAGTCTAAAGTCTGGGTTATAGATTAGTCTATAGTCTGGACTATAGTTTAGTCTACGATGTAGACTATAGTTTAGTCTACAGTCTGGACTATAGTTTAGTCTATAGTCTGGACCATAGATTAGTCTATAGTCTGGACTATAGTTTAGTTTACGATGTGGACTATAGTTTAGTCTACAGTCTGGACTATAGTTTAGTCTATAGTCTGGACCATAGATTAGTCTATAGTCTGGATTATAGTTTAGTTTATAGACTGGATTTTAATTTATTCTATAGTCTGGACAATAGGTTAGTCTATAGTCTGGACTGTAGTCTGAACTATACTTAGTTTATAGTATGGACTATATTTTAGCCTGTAGTCTGGGCTATACTTTAGTTTGTAGTCTCGGCTATAATTTAATCTACAGAATGGACAATAGTTTAGTCTATAGTCTGGACTATAGTTTAGTCCTTAGTCTCGAATATAATTTATTCTATAGTCTAATATATATTCTGAACTATAGTTTAGTATATAGTCTGGACTATAGTTTATAGTCTATTCTGAACTTTATAGTCTAGTCTGAACTATATTTTAGTATATACTCCGCACTATAGTTTACTTTATAGTCAGGACTATAGTTTAGTATGGACTATAGATTAGTTTATAGCCTGGACTATAGTTTAGTCTATAGTCTGGACTATAGTTTAGTCTATAGTCTGGACTATAGTTTAGTCTATAGTCTGAACTATAGTTTAGTATATAGTCGGGACTATAGTTTAGTCTGTAGTCTGGTCTATAGTTTATTCTGTAGTCTGGACTATAGTTTAGTCTTTACTGTGGACTATAGATTAGTCTATAGTCTGGACTATAGATTAGTCTATAGCCTGTACTATAGATTGGGCTCTAGTCTGGACTATAGATTAGTCTTTAGTCTGGACTATAGATTAGTCCTTAGTCTGGACTATAGATTAGTCTATATTTTGAACCATAGATTAGTCTATAATTTCGACTATTAACTAAACTATAGTCAAGACTATAGACTACAGTATAGAATATAGCATGAACTACATTTTAGCCTATAGTCTGGGCTATATTTAGTTTGTAGTCTCGGCTGGACTATAGTTTAGTCCTTAGTCCCGAAAATATGTGTATTTAGTCTTTAGTCTGGACTATAGTTTAGTACATAGTCTGGACTATATACTATAGTTTAGTCTATAGTCTGGACTATAGACTATAGTTTAGTCTATATTCTGGACTATAGTTGAGTCTTTAGTCAGGACTATAGTTTAGTCTATTCTCTGGAATATAGTTTCGATTATAGTTTAGTATATAGTTTAGTCAATAGTCTGGACTATAGTTTGGTTTATACTTTGGACTACTGTTTATTCTACAGTCTGGGCTTTAGTTGTGTCTATACTCTGGACTATAGTTTAGTCTATAGTCTGCACTACAGATTAGTTTATGGACTTAACTATAGTCAGGACTATAGTCTAGGCTCGAATATAGTCTGCAGTTTATTTCATAGTATGGGCTACCGTCTTTACACTCTAGTAAAGTCTTTAGCAAAATATATAATCTAGTCTATGATCTAGTTTTTAATCCGGACTATTATAACTTGGACTATTGTCTCGTATATAGCCTGAACTACAGAATAGTCAGTAGTCCAGAGTATATTCCAGTCTGTAGCCGAGATGTAATCTAGTCTACAATCAGGACCATAATCTAGACTGTTATCCAATTTTTATTCTGCTATAAATTAAAATCAAAAGTTTCTAAATTTGTTTTTTATGAAAAAAGTTGCAAACTTTTTATTTTATCTTTGTTTTTTTAATAAAATTTTGCTAAAGCGTTATTCTCTTTTTTGGTCAAAAATGTAATCTAAATTTATACATAAAATATGTATAATCACAACAAAAGTATTTTGAACTTTTTTCCTTGCCATCTTATAAAATATATATATGAATGAGGGATTAATTCATTCAACTAAAATACATATGTATAGACCATATATGTATGGTTAGAAGAAAATTGAGTGGCAGTTATTTTTAAAAAGGAAACAAATAAAATTAGTGCTTAAAAAATAATAAATACAAGTTGATTTGATTCTTTCTGCTAAATTTTGGGGCAAAGATGTTTTTCGTTTTTGCCCGTTTAAGACTTAAAATTAAGATGAGTATAATTAATTGAAATCCTTAATGATTTAACATCAAATGACTAAATTCGTAAAGCATTAGGGGTTGGGCTGTGGAGTATATATATTTATGTATGTAGGGAGCGATCGGCGGCTTCAATAAGTTTCCAGTTTTGAGGATTTTCTCGAAAAATGAGAAAATTAATGATGACCATAACCAAAACCACCACCATAACCAAAACCATGACCATAACCCAATGAAATGGCGGGAGCAGCAGCTACTTTGACGGCAGAAACGGCTGGAGCAGCATAAGAAAAGGAAGGAGCAGCATAAGAAATGGCGGGAGCAGCGGCAGCATAGGATACTGCGGGTGCTGAATAGGAAATGGAGGGTGCATAGGAAATGGCGGGAGCGGCAGCATAGGAGATGGCAGGAGCTGCAGCCACGGCAACAGGAGCAGGGGCAGCAACAGCCACTGGTGCCGCTGCTACCTTAACGGCAGGAGCAGCTGCTACAGCTACGGTTCTAATAATGGCTGGATGATTGACGACCTACGTTTTGGAATAAAGGTTAGGAACGAGTTTATGTTTGTAAAGAATATACTTACAGTACTGATGGTAGAATAACTGGTAGAAGCAGGGGTAACAGATTTAACTATGGTGGGGGCAGGGGCTGCAACAGCTACGGGAGCAGGGGCAGCTACGGCCACAGGAGCTGGAGCGGCAACAGCAACAGGAGCAGGGGCAGCATAAGAAATAGCAGGTGCAGAATAGGAGATAGCAGGAGCAGCGGCATACGAAATAGCAGGAGCAGCAGCATATGATATAGCAGGAGCCGCAGCTACAGCCTTAACCGCTGGTGCCGCATAACTTATAGCTGGAGCTGCATAACTTATAGAGGGAGCAGCAGCAATACCAATACCAAAACCACCGCCATAACCATGACCTAAACCACCACCACCTAAGTAACCAGGATGAGCAGCCACCGAAGCTACCAAAGCCAAAAGGATCTACAACACAATTTACACTAATTTTAGAAACTTTACACAGATTAGAAAAAGAAAGAGATTATCTCACCAAGAATTTCATTTTTATAAGTTTTTTTTTGTTGCTTTACAAATTTACAAAATAAAAAGGACGTTTGTTCAGTCTGACGATCACCGAAACTGTAGTTTGTTTTGTCAGATGACTGCGCTGTGAAATGCGTTTGTTTGAACTGTAATTTATCATAGATTTTGCGACACTTTTATACACATCAAGATCAATATACTACAAACTGATTCTACAATTATTGATTACATGGAAAAAATAGTAAACAAACAAACAAACAAACAAAAACATACGATCACTCTAATCAATCGCGCTTCAACTTCAACAAACTTAAACAACTATTTACACAGATCCAAACTCTATAACAAAAAATCTCTACAAAATTTCATTTGTATCTGTTAACAAGTTTGTTCGCTTGTTATAACTTAGTTTCTATGTGATGAAACCTATCTGAAAAAAAAAAAAAAAAAAAAAAAACAAAATCCATACAAAATGTTTGCATTCGCAACTAATTCTTGTTTTCTATTGTTGATTTCAGCAATTGGTAGGTAGGTCTTGCAGTAATCAATTTTTCAAAATCCAAATAAAGTTTTGACAAGTTTTTGTTTTAGGGCATGTCCGGTGGAAATGAAGTTGATCAACAACTGTTGATCGCCATATTTAAGGACAAAAGTATTCTACATTGTTTTACTTAAAATGAGAGAATAAATTAAGATTACTTAACAGTTAAAACTACAGTAAACTAAATAATCTTAATGATCGCAGTTTAAACTTTTCAGTTACTCGCATTTATGTTATAAAAGTAGAAGTGATCGCATATAGAATTTTTGTGAGAAAAATAATATACCTGGTCATATATCGATCGAGGGTGACTTTCGAAAGTTGTTAGTTTATAATTCGAATCAATTGTGGAACAAACTCTTAAGAATTCGAAAGAGTTACGAAATTTATCGTTACTAACACTTTGTTTTTATATGATCATTAAAGAGAGTCTGTAAGAAGGGGTAGTTGCAATAATACACCGATAACTATAAAATTTTATAGCGAAAAATGTGTTTCTTGTAAAGTCACTGTCACTGTTACTAACTATGCACCTACAGTGCTAGATCTAACACTATTTAAACTCATTTAGCACCCAAAAATGTCATCCAGCCTTTTTTAGTATTTTTGCATTTTTGTTATATAAAATTGGTTATATAAAATTGTTTATTTTAATTCTAATTTATTTACTGTAAAAATATTTATAAAATTTTGATTGATTAGATGTATAAGTTTTAAAATGTTTAAAACAAGACTATATAATCTAGTCTATAGACTAGGCTATAGTCTAGTCTATAGTCTAGTCTATAGTCTAATCTAGTCTATAGTCTAGTCTATAGTCTAGTCTATAGTCTAGTCTATAGTCTAGTCTATAGTCTAGTCTATAGTCTAGTCTATAGTCTAGTCTATAGTCTAGTCTATAGTCTAGTCTATAGTCTAGTCTATAGTCTAGTCTATAGTCTAGTCTATACTCTAGTCTATAGTCTAGTCTATAGTCTAGTCTATAGTCTAGTCTATAGTCTAGTCTAGTCTATAGTCTAGTCTATAGTCTAGTCTATAGTCTAATCTAGTCTATAGTCTAGTCTATAGTCTAGTCTATAGTCTAGTCTATAGTCTAGTCTATAGTCTAGTCTATAGTCTAGTCTATAGTCTAGTCTATAGTCTAGTCTATAGTCTAGTCTATAGTCTAGTCTATAGTCTAGTCTATAGTCTAGTCTATAGTCTAGTCTATAGTCTAGTCTATAGTCTAGTCTATAGTCTAGTCTATAGTCTAGTCTATAGTCTAGTCTATAGTCTAGTCTATAGTCTAGTCTATAGTCTAGTCTATAGTCTAGTCTATAGTCTAGTCTATAGTCTAGTCTATAGTCTAGTCTATAGTCTAGTCTATAGTCTAGTCTATAGTCTAGTCTATAGTCTAGTCTATAGTCTAGTCTATAGTCTAGTCTATAGTCTAGTCTATAGTCTAGTCTATAGTCTAGTCTAGTCTAGTCTATAGTCTAGTCTATAGTCTAGTCTATAGTCTAGTCTATAGTCTAGTCTAGTCTAGTCTATCTAGTCTATAGTCTAGTCTAGTCTAGTCTAGTCTAGTCTATAGTCTAGTCTATAGTCTAGTCTATAGTCTAGTCTATAGTCTAGTCTATAGTCTAGTCTATAGTCTAGTCTATAGTCTAGTCTATAGTCTAGTCTATAGTCTAGTCTATAGTCTAGTCTATAGTCTAGTCTATAGTCTAGTCTAGTCTATAGTCTAGTCTATAGTCTAGTCTAGTCTATAGTCTAGTCTATAGTCTAGTCTATAGTCTAGTCTATAGTCTAGTCTAGTCTATCTAGTCTATAGTCTAGTCTAGTCTATAGTCTAGTCTAGTCTAGTCTATAGTCTAGTCTACAGTCTAGTCTTATCTAGTCTATAGTCCTGTCTATAGTCTAGTCTATAGTTCTGTCTATAGTCTAGTCTATAGTCTAGTCTATAGTCTAGTCTATAGTCTAGTCTATAGTCTAGTCTATAGTCTAGTCTATAGTCTATAGTCCAGTCTATAGTCTAGTCTGTAGTCTAGTCTATAGTCTAGTCTATAGTCTAGTCTATAGTCTAGTCTATAGTCTAGTCTATAGTCTAGTCTATAGTCTAGTCTATAGTCTAGTCTATAGTCTAGTCTATAGTCTAGTCTATAGTCTAGTCTATAGTCTAGTCTATAGTCTAGTCTATAGTCTAGTCTATAGTCTAGTCTATAGTCTAGTCTATAGCCTAGTCTAGTCTAGTGTAGTCTAGTCTAGTCATAGTCTATAGTCTAGTCTAGTCTAGTCTAATCTAGTCTAGTCTAGTCTAGTCTATAGTCTAGTCTAGTCTAATCTAGTCTAGTCTATAGTCTAGTCTAGTCTATAGTCTAGTCTGTAGTCTAGTGTATATTCTAGTATATGGTCTGGTCTATAATCTAGTCTATAGTGTAGTCTATAGTCTAGTCTATAGTTTAGTTTATAGTCTATATTTTAGTCTGTAACCTGGTCTATAGTCTAGTCTAAAGCCTAGTCTATTGTATGGACAATATACTTGTCAACAGCATAAACTATAATATAGTCTATAGTGTGGACTATAGTCTAGTCTATCTATAGTCTAATCTATAGACCAACAAATCGATTTTTTAGAGCTTATGGGATTAAATAAAATTCAAAGGTTTTTTTTTTATGAAAAAAGTTCAGTTGCTTTTTATTTTTTTTTTTGTTATTAACATTAAGATTTATAAATGGTTTTCTAAACATACCAACAATATAATCAAAATTCAAGAGAGTTCGATTTTATATATATACATGAACTTTTTTCCTTGCCATAAATTTAAATAATTAAAAAAAGTTTGGAGCAAAGAAAAGGCGGTTAAATTGAAACATAATAAAGTTAGCGCTTAAAATGAGAATTACACTTCTTTGTATAGTTTTTCATTTTAAATATAAAAATATATTTTTGATTCTTTCTGCAAACGTTTTGGGGGATAATTGATCTTCTTAAGACCCCCGATTTGGTATTCTTAACATTAAGATGAATATTTTTAAAACATAAAACAAAGTTAATGACTAAAGTTCGTTAATCGTTATTGGCAAAATTAATACGGCGGCTTTCAATGTTTCATAAGTAGTAGATTTTGCTAAGGGCGATGATGGTTTCCGGACTAAAGAAACTTAATGGTGACCGCCATAGCCAAAACCATGACCATAACCAAAACCACCATGGCCATACCCTACCGATATGGCGGGTGCAGCAGCATACGAAATAGCAGGAGCAGCAGCATAGGAAATGGCAGGCGCAGCAGCGTAGGAGATGGCAGGCGCAGCAGCTACTTTTACAGCAGAAACGGCGGGTGCTGCATAGGAGATGGCAGGCGCAGCAGCGTAGGAGATGGCAGGCGCAGCAGCTACTTTTACAGCAGAAACGGCGGGTGCTGCATAGGAGATGGCAGGAGCTGCAGCTACTTTTACAGCAGAAACGGCGGGTGCTGCATAGGAGATGGCAGGAGCAGCAGCATAGGAAATTGCTGGAGCTGCAGCTACTTTAACGGCAGGAGCTGCAACTTCAATAGTTTTGGAACCTGGCGAATTGCTTTCAACCTAAGATTAAACATAAACAATATCAAAATAGAACCGAGCTTCAATTTAAAATGTTAAGAAACTCACATAGGTGGTATAACTAACAATAGGAGAGCCCACAGACTTGACAACAGCTGGTGCTGGGGCAGCATATGAAATAGCAGGAGCAGCAGCAACTGCCTTAACCACAGGAGCGGCAGCAGCATAAGTAACAGCTGGAGCTGCATAGCTTACAGCTGGAGCTGCATAGCTCACAGCAGGTGCTGCATAGCTGACGGCAGGGGCAGCATAGCTAATGCCACCGCCAAAACCATGACCTAAACCTCCCAAACCACCATAAATACCAGGATGGGCGGCAGTAGCAGCAATTAAGGCAAATAAAATCTATAACACATGTCGAGAATTATTATTACATCCACTTAATTATTCTTTCTAAAATTTTTAAGTTCTCACCAAAAATTTCATCTTTATTTTTTTATAATTTTTTTTTTAAATTCACAAAAATCAGGATATATTTCCTTTAATAATTACTAATAACACTTTAATATCTTATCAGCTTTTTTCAAATGACTGCACGTCTAGATGCGTTTAGTTCAACTGTAATTCATCAAAGATTTTGCGATACTTTTATACACTTTGGAAAATCTAATACAAAAAAATCTAAAATAAAAGCGAAAATAAATCAAACAAAAAAAAACTCACAGAATCTCTAAATATTGAGCAAAAACTTTACAGACAAACACTTAAATCTCTCACTACAACAAAAATACGCACAATCACCCCAAAAATATCTTTTCAACAGTCATCGATCGCATTATGATCAATGCATTACAACGTTCGATTTCGCATAGCCTAGCATCTCTTTTATAAAATACATATTTTCCTTTTCAATATTAGAATAGAGATAATGTCTCAAACTCAAAATGTGCTTCTTATAGTCATTTGGTGCTCTTGTGTTTTATGTTTGTTGGTTTGTTTCCTTTGTGAATTGTTTAGTGTCTGACAGAAGTCACCAACCAAACAAATTAAACCTAAACTAGCTCTAGAATGTTTGGTAAGCCAAGTTTTTGAAAGTATTTCTTAAAATAAGCAAAAGTAGTGCCTTTACGAGGAATACTTTGTGGGCGAAATCTAAATATCTGTCTCTATAGTATAGTCTAAAGTAGTCTGTAGTTTATTCTATAGTCTAGTCTATAGTTTAGTTTATAGTCTATTCTATAGTTTACTTTATAGTAAACTTAGTTTAGTATATAGCCTAGGTTGAAGTCTATTCTTTAGTCTCTTCTTTTCTATTCTATTGACTATCATATAGCCTTGTCTATAGTTTACTCTAGTCTAGTCTATTGTCTATTCTGTAGTCTTCTCTTTAGTGGTGTCTATAGTTTAGTCAATAGGGATATCTATAGTCTAGTATATAGGCTACTCTGTAGTCTACTCTCTAGTCTAGTTTATAATCTAATCTATAGGGTAGTCTATAGTCTAGTCCTTAGTTTAGCCCTTGGTCTTAACTATAGTCTGGTCTAGGCAATAGTTCAGTCTATAATCTAGTCTATAGTCTAGTCTATAGTCCAGTCTGTAGTATAGTCTATAGTCTAGTCTATAATTTAATCTTAAGTTTAGTCTATAGTTTAGCCTATAGATTAGTCTATAGTCAAGTGTATAATCTAATCTATAGTCTAATCTATAACCTATTCTATAGTCTAGTATATAGTCTGGTCTTTAGTCTAGTTTTTTGTCTACTCTATAGTTCAGTCTATAATTTAGTCTATAGTACAGTCAATAGTCTAGTCTATAGTCTAGTCTATAGTCTAGTCTATAGTCTAGTCTATAGTCTAGTCTATAGTCTAGTCTATAGTCTAGTCTATAGTCTAGTCTATAGTCTAGTCTATAGTCTAGTCTATAGTCTAGTCTATAGTCTAGTCTATAGTCTTGTCTATAGTCTAGTCTATAGTTCAGTCTATAGTACAGTCAATAGTCTAGTCTATAGTCTAGTCTATAGTCTAGTCTATAGTCTAGTCTATAGTCTAGTCTATAGTCTAGTCTATAGTCTAGTCTATAGTCTAGTCTATAGTCTAGTCTATAGTCTAGTCTATAGTCTAGTCTATAGTCTAGTCTATAGTCTAGTCTATAGTCTAGTCTATAGTCTCGTCCATAGTCTAGTCAATAGTCTAGTCTATAGTCTAGTCTATAGTCTAGTCTATAGTCTAGTCTATAATCTAGTCTATAATCTAGTTTATAGTCTAGTTTATAGTCTAGCCTATAGTCTAGTCTATAGTCCAGTCTATAGTCCAGTCTATAGTCTAGTCTATAGTCTAGTCTATAGTCTAGTTTATAGTCTAGTCTATAGTCTAGTCTATAGTCTAGTCTATAGTCTGGTTTATAGTCTAGTCTATAGTCTAGTCTATAGTTTAGTCTATAGTCTGGTCTATAGTCTAGTCTATAGTCTAGTCTATAGTCTAGTCTATAGTCTGGTCTATAGTCTGGTCTATAGTCTAGTCTATAGTCTAGTCTATAGTCTAGTCTATAGTCTAGTCTATAGTCTAGTCTATAGTCTCGTCTATAGTCTAGTCTATAGTCTAGTCTATAGTCTAGTCTATAGTCTAGTCTATAGTCTAGTCTATAGTCTAGTCTATAGTCTAGTCTATAGTCTAGTCTATAGTCTAGTCTATAGTCTAGTCTACAGTCTAGTCTATAGTCTAGTCTATAGTCTAGTCTATAGTCTAGTCTATAGTCTAGTCTATAGTCTAGTCTACAGTCTAGTCTATAGTCTAGTCTATAGTTCAGTCTATAATTTAGTCTATAGTCTAGTCTATAGTCTAGTCTATAGTCTAGTCTATAGTCTAGTCTATAGTTCAGTCTATAATTTAGTCTATAGTCTAGTCCATAGTCCAGTCAATTGTCTAGTCTATAGTCTAGTCTATAGTCTAGTCTATAGTCCAGTCTATAGTCCAGTCTATAGTCTAGTCTATAGTCTAGTCTATAGTCTAGTTTATAGTCTAGCCTATAGTCTAGTCTATAGTCCAGTCTATAGTCCAGTCTATAGTCTAGTCTATAGTCTAGTCTATATAGTCTATAGTCTAGTCTATAGTCTAGTCTATAGTCTAGTCTATAGTCTAGTCTATAGTCTAGTCTAGTCTAGTCTATAGTCTAGTCTATAGTCTAGTCTATAGTCTAGTCTATAGTCTAGTCTATAGTCTAGTCTATAGTCTAGTCTATAGTCTAGTCTATAGTCTAGTCTATAGTCTAGTCTATAGTCTAGTCTATAGTCTAGTCTATAGTCTAGTCTATAGTCTATCTATAGTCTAGTCTATAGTCTGTCTATAGTCTAGTCTATAGTCTAGTCTATAGTCTAGTCTCTAGTTCGTAGGTCTATAGTCTAGTCTATAGTCTAGTCTATAGTCTAGTCTATAGTCTAGCTATAGTCTAGTCTAGTAGTCTAGTCTATAGTCTAGTCTATAGTCTAGTCTATAGTCTAGTCTATAGTCTAGTTTATAGTCTAGTCTATAGTCTAGTCTATAGTCTAGTCTAAGTCTAGTCTATAGTCTAGTCTATTAGTCTAGTCTATTGTTAGTCTATGGTCTAGTCTAAGTCTAGTCTATAGTCTAGTCTATAGTCTTGTCTATAGTCTTGTCTATAGTCTAGTCTAGTTTATAGTCTAGTCTTAGTCTAGCCTATAGTCTAGTCTATAGTCTTTTCTATAGTCTTTTCTGTAGTCTTGTCTATACTCTTTTCTATAGTCTAGTCTATAGTCTATAATCTAGTCTATAGTCTATTAATCTAGTCTATAGTCAAGTCTATAGTCAAGTCTATAGTCAAGTCTATAGTCTAGTCTATAGTCTCGTCTATAATCTAGTCTATAGTCTTTTCTATACTATTTTCTATAGTTTAGACCATAGTCTAGTCTATAATATTGACTATGGTCTACTCTATTGTCCAGTCTTTTGTCTAGAGTATAGTCTAGTCTGTAGTCAAGACTATAGGCAAGTTAATAATCTATAGTTTAGTCTATAGTTTAGTCTATAGTTTAGTCTATATTTTAGTCTATAGTCTATTCTATAATCAAGTCTATAGTTTGCTCTACAGTTTATACAATAGTCTAGTCTTTTGTCTATTCTATAGTCATGTACTATATATAATTTACTCTAAAACTAGTCTATAGTTTAGTGTATTGTCTAATCTATAGTCTAGTCTGTACTGTAATCTAAAGTGTGGACTATAATCTGGTTTATAGTCTATAGTCATGTCTATAGTCTATTTTATAATTTAATCTATAGTCTAGTCTATAATCTATTCTATAGTCTTGTTTATAGTCTACTCAATAGTGTGGTATTTAGTCTAGTTTATAGTCTAGTCTATAGTCTAATTTCTGGATGCTTTCTCATTACATAAATTTCATGCGATTTTTTTTTATGAAAAAAGTTCGATTACTTTTTATTTTTTTATTTTTTTTTTTTGCTTTTTGATTTGTAAATTGTTTTCTAAAAATATGAACTAAATAATCACAATACAAGAGATTTCTGTTTCTGTGTTTTTTTGTGTTCAATTTGATGTACATGAACTTTTTTCCTTGCCATAAATTTATATAAAAAAGGATTAAACAACAATTTAATACCTAAAAAATGTTTGGAGCAAAAAAAGGCGGTTAAATTGAAACATAATAGAGTTAGCGCTTAAAATAATAATTATAATTTTTGTGTTTTTTTTTGTTTTTACATTTAAATATAAATATATTTTTGATTCTTTCTGCAAACATGCTGGGTTTTCCTTTGCGGGGATTTGATGTTGTTTAACACATGCGTTTGGTATCCTTAAAGTTAATATGAACAACGTAAAAAAAAAATTAATGACTAAGTTCGTTAATCGTTATTGTCAAAAATTATACGGCGGCTTTCAATGTTTCACAAGTAGTTGGTTTTGTTGAGGCTGATGGTTTTCGGTCTAAAGAAACTTAATGGTGACCACCATAGCCATAACCATGACCATAACCGTAACCACCATGACCATACCCTACCGAGATGGCGGGAGCAGCAGCATAGGAAATGGCAGGAGCAGCAGCATAGGAAATGGCGGGCGCAGCAGCTACTTTAACGGCAGGTGCTGCATAGGAAATAGCAGGAGCTGAGTAAGAGTAGGCAGGAGCAGCAGCATAGGAAATAGCTGGGGCAGCAGCTACTTTAACGGCGGGTGCTGCATAAGAAATGGCTGGAGCGGCATAGGCTACAGCTTTGACAGCTGGTGCATGGCTTACAACCTTTAGGTTAGAAATTCAAAAATCAAAACAGAGTTTAGCTTTAAGCAAAAACCTTTAAACAACTCACAGTGCTGAAAGTGGAATAACTGGTAGCAGGAGCGGCCACAGCCTTGACAATAGCTGGTGCTGGGGCAGCATAAGAAATGGCTGGGGCAGCATATGAAATAGCAGGAGCAGCAGCCACGGCCTTAACTACAGGAGCGGCAGCAGCATAAGTGACAGCTGGGGCAGCATAGCTAACAGCGGGGGCTGCATAGCTCACTGCTGGGGCTGAATAACTAATAGCGGGAGCTGAATAGCTGACTGCAGGGGCAGCATAGCTATAGCCACCGCCATAGCCATGACCATAACCACCCAAACCACCATAAATACCAGGATGGGCGGCAGTAGCAGCAATTAAGGCAAACAAAATCTATAACACATGTCGAGAATAATTATTACATCCACAGAATTATACTTTCGAAAATTTAAAATTTCTCACCAAAAATTTCATATTTATATTTTTTTATTAATTTTTCTTCAAATTTACAAAAATCAGGATATTTCCTTAAATAAATATTAGTAACACTTTAATAGTTTAACCGCTATTTCCCGATGACTGCACGTCTAAATGTGTTAAGTTGAACTGTAATTCATCATAGATTTTACGATACTTTTATACACATTGGAAAATCTAATGCAAAAAATTGCAATTGAAATTAAACAAAAGCGAACAAAATAAAACAAACAAAAAACACATATAAATCTCTGCACAGAATCTCTAACTAAATATTGGGGAAAAAACGCTACAATATAAACCACTAAACTCACTCACTAATAAATAAAAAACACGCATAATCACCCCAAAAAAATATCTATCCAACAGACTTCGATCGCATAAATTATGATCAATACATTAAAAACGTTCGATCTCTACAAAAATTCGCATCATTTTTCGCATAGCAATGCATCTCTTTTACAAAATTTTAAAGTAGAGAAAATGTGATTCTTATGGTCTGTCTTTTGCTGCTCTTGTATTTTAGTTTTGTTCGTTTGTTTCGTACGTATGTACGTACGTGTCTTGTCCAGAGTCTGACTGAAGTCACCAGTGAATCTAGTTTATGTTAGTTTTTTTTTAAGGGAAGGATAACTAAAATAGGTCGAGAATGTTTCGTAATGACAAATATGTGAAAGTACTTTCAGAAATAATTTTTTTCTTTCTTGGACTAGACTAGAGGCTAGGCTATAGACTAGACTATACACTAATATATAGTCTAGTCTATAGTCTAGGCTATAAACTAGTCTGAAGTCTAGTCTATAGTATAGTGTAGTCTATAGTCTAGTCCATAGTCTAGTCTATAGTCTAGTCCATAGTCTAGTCTATAGTCTAGTCCATAGTCTAGTCTATAGTCTAGTCCATAGTCTAGTCTATAGTCTAGTCCATAGTCTAGACTATAGTCCAGTCTATAGTCTAGTCTATACTCCAGTCTATAGTCTAATCTATAGTCTAGTCTATAGTCTAGTCTATAGTCTAGTCTATAGTCTAGTCTATAGTCTAGTCTATAGTCTAGTCTATAGTCTAGTCTATAGTCTAGTCTATAGTCTACTCTATGGTCTAGTCTATAGTCTACTCTATGGTCTAGTCTGTAGTGTAGCCTATAGTCTAGTCTATAGTCTTGTCTATAGTCTAGTCTATAGTCTAGTCTATAGTATAGTCTAGTATATAGCCTAGTCTAGCCTATAGTCTAGTCTATAGTATAGTCTACAGTCTAGTCTGTAGTCTAGTCTATAGTCTAGTCTATAGTCTAGTCTATAGTCTAGTCTATAGTCTAGTCTATAGTCTAGTCTATAGTCTAGTCTATAGTCTAGTCTATAGTCTAGTCTATAGTCTAGTCTATAGTCTAGTCTATAGTCTAGTCTATAGTCTAGTCTATAGTCTAGTCTATAGTCTAGTCTATAGTCTAGTCTATAGTCCAGTCTATAGTCTAGTCTATAGTCCAGTCTATAGTCTAGTCTATAGTCCAGTCTATAGTCTAGTCTATAGTCTACTGTATAGTCTAGTCTATAGTCTAAAGTCTAGTCTATAGTCTAGTCTGTAGTCTAGTCTATAATCTAGTCTAAAGTCTAGTCTATAGTTTAGTCTGTAGTCTAGTCTATAATCTAGTCTATAGTCTAGTCTATAGTCTAGTCTATAGTCTAGTCTATAGTCTAGTCTAGTCTATAGTCTAGTCTATAGTCTAGTTTATAGTCTAGTCTATAGTCTAGTCTATAGTCTAGTCTATAGTCTAGTCTATAGTCTAGTCTATAGTCTAGTCTATAGTCTAGTCTATAGTCTAGTCTATAGTCTAGTCTATAGTCTAGTCTATAGTCTAGTCTATAGTCTAGTCTATAGTCTAGTCTATAGTCTAGTCTATAGTCTAGTCTATAGTCTAGTCTATAGTCTAGTCTATAGTCTAGTCTATAGTCTAGTCTATAGTCTAGTCTATAGTCTAGTCTATAGTAGTCTAGTAGTCTATAGTCTAGTCTATAGTCTAGTCTATAGTCTAGTCTATAGTCTAGTCTATAGTCTAGTCTATAGTCTAGTCTATAGTCTAGTCTATAGTCTAGTCTAGTTATAGTCTAGTCTATAGTCTAGTCTATAGTCTAGTCTATAGTCTAGTCTATAGTCTAGTCTATAGTCTAGTCTATAGTCTAGTCTATAGTCTAGTCTATAGTCTAATCTAGTCTAGTCTAGTCTAGTCTAGACTAGTCTGTAGTCTAGTCTATAGTCTAGTCTACAGTCTAGTCAATGGTCTAGTCTTTATTGAAGACCATAGTCCATTTTATAGTTTAGTCTATATTCTAGTCTATAATATACTCTGTAGTCTAGTCGGAAGTGTAGCCTATAGATTAGGCTAGCCCATAGTCCAGCCTAGCGATTCTATAGTCTAGTCTATAGTCTGGTCTATAGTCTAGTCTATAGTCTAGTCTATAGTCTGGTCTATAGTCTAGTCTATAGTCTAGTCTATAGTCTAGTCTATAGTCTGGTCTATAGTCTAGTCTATAGTCTAGTCTATAGTCTAGTCTATAGTCTAGTCTATAGTCTACTCTATAGTCTAGTCTATAGTCTAGTCTATCGTCTAGTCTATAGTCTAGTCTCTAGTCTATCCTTTAGTCTATAATCTAGTCTATTGGACTAGGTCCATAATGTAGCCTTTCATCAAGTCCGTATTCCCTTCTATAGTCCATTCCATAGTGTAGTCTATAGTATAGTCTATAGTTTAATCTTTATTATAGTCTATAGTCTAGTGTTTAATCTAGTCTATAGTCTAGTCTACAGTCTAGTCTACAGTCTAGTCTATAGTCTAGTCTATAGTCTAGTCTATAGTCCATTATATATTCCATTCTATTGTGTAGTCTATATTCAAGTCAATAGTTCACTCTGTAGTCTATTGTATAGTTTAGTGTACAGTATAGTCTATCTGTAGTCAATCTATAGTCTAGTCTATAGTCAGTCTATAGACTAGTCTTCAGCGTAGTATATTATCCAGTTTATAGTTTTTTTGAGGTTTTCGTATTAAATAAAATTCCAGAGATTTTTTTATGAAAAAAGTTCAATTACTTTTTATTTTTTCTAAATTTTTTTTTTTAACTTTTTGATTTATAAATTGTTTTCTAAAAATATGAACTATATAATCACAATACAAGAGATATCTGTTTCTGTTCTTTTGGGGTTCAAATTTTAAACATGAACTTTCTTCCTTGCCATTAATTTAAATTAAAAAGGGATTAAACAACAATTTAAAACCTAGAACAAAGTCTGGAGCAAAGAAAAGGCGGTTAGATTGAAACATAAAAAAGTTAGCGCTTAAAATAATAATTATAAATTTTATAAATATATTTTTGATTCTTTCTGTAAACGTGCTGGTGTAAGCTTTGGGCGGTAATTGATGTTTTTGAAACCCACGATTTGGTATTCTTAAAATTACTAATGAATATTTTAACAACATAAAACAAAGTTAATGACTAAAGTTCGTTAATCGTTATTGGCAAAATTAATACGGCGGCTTTCAATGTTTCATAAGTAGTAGATTTTGCTGAGGGCGATGATGGTTACCGGACTAAAGAAACTTAATGGTGACCGCCATAGCCAAAACCATGACCATAACCAAAACCACCATGGCCATACCCTACCGAGATGGCGGGTGCAGCAGCATAGGAAATGGCAGGAGCAGCAGCATAGGAAATGGCGGGAGCGGCAGCTACCTTAACAGCAGAAACGGCAGGTGCTGCATAGGAGATGGCAGGGGCCGAGTATGAAATGGCAGGAGCAGCAGCATAGGAAATGGCGGGAGCAGCAGCTACTTTAACGGCGGGAGCTGCATAGGAAATGGCAGGAGCGGCATAGGAAACAGCGGGAGCTGCTACAGCTACAGCTTTAACAGCTGGTTGGTTAACAACCTTTAAGTGAAGAAAAAGTTTAAGAAATTAGCTTTAAATTTCGAAGTTATTGAACTCACAGTGGTAAAGGAGTTATAACTGGTAGCAGATGAGGGACCCACAGTCTTGACAATGGCGGGAGCTGGGGCAGCAGCAACAGCCTTAACCACAGGAGCGGCAGCAGCATAAGTAACAGCTGGAGCAGCATAGCTAACAGCTGGGGCAGCAGCAGCATAAGTAACAGCTGGGGCTGCATAGCTTACAGCGGGTGCGGCATAGCTTACAGCGGGAGCTGCATAACTAACAGAAGGGGCAGCATAACTAAAGCCACCACCATAACCATGACCTAAACCTCCCAAACCACCATAAATACCGGGATGGGCGGCAGTAGCAGCAATTAAGGCAAACAAGATCTATAACACATATCGGGAATTACGATTACATGCACATAATTGTACTTTCTAAAAACTTTAAATTTCTCACCAAAAATTTCATATTTAGTTTTTTGTTTTTTATAAAATTTTCTTAAAATTCACAAAAAAAATTAGGATATTTCCTTTAATAAGTATTGAGTAACACTTTTAATTGATGTTTTCAGAAGACTGCGTTTAGTTGAACTGTAATTCATCAAAGATTTTGCGATACTTTTATACACATAGAGAATCTAATGCCAAAAACAGACTTTAAAACACAAACTACAATTGAAATTAAACGAAAAAACTCACAAAAATCTCTGCACAGAATCTTTAAATATGGGAGAATAAACACGCTATAAAAGAAATCACTAAAACTTTACTCACTTAAATAAAAACCACTTACAATCACCCCAAAAATCTAAAATCTTAACAGAAATCGATCAGTATGATCATAACATAACGATCTTTATAAAAATTCACTTTATTTACAAGAGTCATAGTTTCATTTTCAATACTTAGTAGAATAGAGAAAATGTTTCTTAAACTTAAAATGTGATTCTTGTGATCTTTAAGTGATCTTGTTGTGTTTTAGGTTTGTCGCGTTTGTGTCTTGTCTAAAGTGTCTGTCTGTCTGAAGTCACCAGCCAAATAAAGTGAATCTAGTTTATGTTATTTTCTAAGGGAAGGATAACTCATATAGCTCGATCATGTTTTGTTAAGTACAAATGTGTTAAAGTAATTTTAAAAGTACCGCTAGGTTCTCATTTTGAGAGTTCATACTTCTCCCAAGATCAGTTTAAACAGGGATCTTTTATAACTATCATCGTCTAGGTTATAGTCTAGTTAGACTATTGGTTATAATTTAGTCAAACTATAGGCAGTAGGCTGATCAGAATACAAAATATAGTCGAGATACACTACAGACTATAATCTAGTCAGATTTTAGATTATAGTCTGACTATATTCTAGTTAAAATATTAACTACAGTCTAGTCAGAATATTGGCTATAGTCAAGTCAGATAATAGACTCTAGACCACTCTTACTGTATACTATAGATTACTCAGACTTTAAACTTTAAGTCTTGTCTTTCTCTTGAACTATAGTTGGCTATCCTTCCCCCCGCCTAGTACTATAGTTTTATGTCATTTTACTTTTAAAAGTGTAAGTGATGCAATGAGGCGTAGTTTTTATGTTTTTTTTTTTCTCTAAAGTGGCTCTACAAATGTCGTTCAGTTAAACTACCTTGTATAGAATCTAATCATATAAAACTTATAAGAAAACAATTCAAAATCTAATAACAACAAAAACAAAAAACCCAAAACATGATCGAAGATTTGTAACACCGGAATCACCATAACTGTATTATGACGTTAGACTATGAATGATTTTTTGTCTCACAAAATTGGGTGGTAGACAACAAAATAATTCAAAATTAAAAAACCGAACGTCTAAAATATTGAAAATATTTAAGACATTTCGACTGTCTCTTTAAGTTGATCTAAACTGGACTTATTAAAAATACAGAAAAATCATATTTGAAATGTCTAAGCGTTTCAATAGTTTATATGGTGTTTTATAAAGAAAAATTAATTTGATTTTCATTTACTTATTTGGTTTTTAAGTAAAAATTCTTTTTTAACCAACATGTTACATTTTTTATTTAATTCAAATAGTTTCGATTTAAAGCAAATTGTTATAGTTTTACTTTTGTGGACTGTGGTATATTGATTTGTTATCTTGAAAATTTGAAAATTTTAACTCAAAATAACTACACGTTATTATTTTATATATAGAGAATTGTGGTTTGTTTGTTTCTGTTTCAAATATTACAAATTTGGTAAAATATGTTTTTTTTCTGTTCATGTTTTGCTAAAAAATTCTTTTAGTTTGTTTGGGGGTAATTAGTTTTTACATGTAGTTTTCGTCGCCATTGTCGTTGAGGCCTGGTTAAGAAATAAATATTTTTCTAAGTAGACTAATTTGTGCTATTCCATCATTTTATGTTATAGTTTAGTGGGATTTTGCGCAATAAACTTTTGAAAAAAAAAAAAAAATAAATAAAAAATTTAAAAGTTTTTGAAGTTTGTTAGTCAATCCCTGGGGAATTTAGAGTGGCTTGTGCATAAATATGTTTCGACTGACTCTTACATATTTCCACACTTTGTCACCATTTATGGTTATGAAAATAATTTGACACCTGTATGGTTTTTATTAGTAAAAATATCATTTTTATATTAATTATAAAACTTCAGTTTTATAAAGACAAATAATAAGGGTGGTCTGGGGTGGTGTATTGAGATTTAGAAAAACTTTATACTATAGTAGCTATTTTCTTAAAATATCTCAACTATATTTCACACCTTCTATAGACTATAGTCTAGTATATACTCTAGTGTATAGTCTAGTCTATAGTTTAGTCTATAGTCTTGTCTATAGTCTAGTCGATAGTCTAATCTATAGTCTAGTCTATAGTATAGTCTACTACTACTCTAGTCTATAGTATAGTATATAATCTAGTCTATAGACTATAAGTCTAGTCTATAATCAAGTATTATGTCTCGACTGTAATCTAGTCTATAGTCTAGTCTAGCGTGGCTTAGACTATGGTCTATTCTATAGTCTAGTCTATAATAAAATATATAGTCTCGTCTGTAATCTAGTCTGTAGTCTAGTCTGTAGCCTAGTCTATAGTCTAGGCTATAGTCTAGTCTATAGTCTAGTCTATAGTCTAGTCTATAGTCTAGTCTATAGTCTAGTCTATAGTCTAGTCTATAGTCTAGTCTATAGTCTAGTCTATAGTCTAGTCTATAGTCTAGTCTATAGTCTAGTCTAGTCTAGTCTATAGTCTAGTCTACAGTCTAGTCTATAGTATAGTCTGTAGTCAAGTCTATAGTCTAGTCTTTAGTGTAGTCTATAGTCCAGTCTATACTCTAGTCTATAGTCTAGTCTTTAGTGTAGTCTATAGTCCAGTCTATACCCTAGTCTATAGTGTAGTACATAGTCCAGTCTATAGTCTAGTGTATAATGAAGTATATAGTCTCGACTGTAGTCTAGTCTATAATCTAGTCTAGTATGGCTCGGACTATGGTCTATAATATAGTCTACAATATAGTCCATAATTTAATCTATTTCATTGTCTAGTCCACAGTCTTGCCTATAGTCTGGTCTATAGTCTAGCCTATATTCTACTCTATAGTCTAGTCTATAAACTAGTCTATAGTCTAGTCTATAATGAAGTATATAGTCTCGTTTGTAATCTAGTCTATAGTCTAGTCTATAGTCTATTCTATAATCTAGTCTAGTCTATAGTCTAGTCTATAGTCTAGTCTATAGTCTAGTCTATAGTCTAGTCTATAGTCTAGTCTATAGTCTAGTCTATAGTCTAGTCTATAGTCTAGTCTATAGTCTAGTCTATAGTCCTAGTCTATAGTCTAGTCTATAGTCTAGTCTATAGTCTAGTCTCATAGTCTAGTCTATATAGTCTAGTCTATAGTCTATTCTATAGTCTAGTCTATAGTCTAGTGTATAGTCTAGTCTATAGTCTAAGTCTATAGTCTAGTCTATAGTCTAGTCTATAGTCTAGTCTATTGTCTAGTCTATGTCTAGTCTATAGTCTAGTCTATAGTCTAGTCTATAGTCTAGTCTATAGTCTAGTCTATAGTCTAGTCTATAGTCTAGTCTATAGTCTAGTCTATAGTCTATTCTATAGTCTAGCTATAGTCTATGTGTATAGTCTAGTCTATGTCTAGTCTATGTTAGTCTATAGTCTAGTCTATAGTCTAGTCTATAGTCTAGTCTATAGTCTAGTCTATTAGTCTAGTCTATAGTCTAGTCTATAGTCTAGTCTATAGTCTAGTCTATAGTCTAGTCTATAGTCTAGTCTATAGTCTAGTCTATAGTCTAGTCTATAGTCTAGTCTATAGTCTAGTCTATAGTCTAGTCTATAGTCTAGTCTATAGTCTAGTCTATAGTCTAGTCTATAGTCTAGTCTATAGTCTAGTCTATAGTCTAGTCTATAGTCTAGTCTATAGTCTAGTCTATAGTCTAGTCTATAGTCTAGTCTATAGTCTAGTCTATAGTCTAGTCTATAGTCTAGTCTATAGTCTAGTCTATAGTCTAGTCTATAGTCTAGTCTATAGTAGTCTATAGTCTAGTCTATAGTCTAGTCTATAGTCTAGTCTATAGTCTAGTCTATAGTCTAGTCTATAGTCTAGTCTATAGTCTAGTCTATAGTCTAGTGTATAGTCTAGTCTATAGTCTAGTCTATAGTCTAGTCTATAGTCTAGTCTATAGTCTAGTCTATAGTCTAGTCTATCTATAGTCTAGTCTAGTCTATAGTCTAGTCTATAGTCTAGTCTATAGTCTAGTCTATAGTCTAGTCTATAGTCTAGTCTAGTCTAGTATATAGTCTAGTCTATAGTCTAGTCTATAGTCTATTCTATAGTCTAGTCTATAGTCCATTCTAGTTTAAAGTCTAGTTTATAGACCAGTTTAAAATCTAGTCTATAGTCTGATTAGACTATCGACCGAATTCTACTCATACTATAGACTTTAGTCGCTTCAAACTGCCGATTATGGAACAGTCACACTCTCGACTATAGTTTATTAGGATTACCGACTATGGCTTATTCATACTATAGATTACAGGCTACTCAGACTATTGACTGTATTCTACTTAGACAATCTTTTATAGTCTACGCAGACAATAAACTACAATCTACTGCAATATGGCTTAGACTATGGTCTACTTGGACCACACATTCTATAAGTAACTTAATTTTTCCATAACCTGGTCACCTCTGTTCTTATATTCCAACCCGTACAATAAATTATTAATTTATTTTTTTTTCTTCGAAAAACATTTAACAGAATAATTTTTAAATTTTCAATCATATAAACAATCAAACAATAAATTACTAACTATACTCTAAATACCACTACAATAACAATTACAAAGAAACAAACAAAAAAAACTAAATGTTGTTAATAATTGTATAAAATTTATTAACAAATTGCCAATAAACACTTAATTGCGGATAATCATCATCATCCTAATAAACCGAAAAAAAAAAAACAAACTAAACTTGACAGGTTGTTATAACAGCAACAACAACTAAAATAAACTTGTTAATAATTTATGGAAAGGACGTCCGTTTAACATGTTACACTCGGCTCGATTGCCAACAACATGAAATGGAAAACAAAACAACAACCAACAACGACGACACAATGAAATCACAAATGTTGGCCAACAAAAATTCTCTTGCCAAAATTATTTCTAATTAAGTTGTATAAAATCTACAAAATTAGACATAATTAACAACTTTGGTTGATCTATTACCGTTTAGCTTTATTTTTGTTAAATCAAGGTGATCCAAATAAAGTTACATTTCACTTTGTTTTTGTTGCACTTTAATTGTTGTAACTAAAAAATAAATAATCTAAACAACATTTTAGACGATGAC